TTCACTTTTCACAGTTGGGCCCGAGGATAGGTATTCTGCCCGCTGCGCTCAAGGTTTTGTTCTGTCTTTGTGACTTTCACTTTCTTTCTTTCCTTTCTTTTTTCTTTTTAAAGAATGATTTATTTCATTTTATTTATTTTTATTATTTTAATTTTGCTACAGGGCACATATGCTCAGAGGGCACATGTGTGCTCCCTGAGGGGGATGAGAAATCTCCTCCCCCGGGGAGCTACGCTGCAGTCCCTTCTCCTTTTCCCCCTCGGATTTGGGGCATGCAAGCACGCATGCCCAGAGCGTCTCTGCAGCCACCCTAACTGCCACGGCGCCAGCTGGCTCGTCACTTTTATTTCTTATAGTTACCATCCTCCCTGGGCCAGCATAGAGCGTAGTGGTGACGTCAGTGGGCTTCCACGTGGCTGACCCTGGTCCCAGTCCTGAACCTGGTGACTTGAAACACACTGGGAGCGTGTGCGTACATGCCCAAGATCCTGGGAAGAGAATGGAGGGGAAGGGATTGAGCATGACCATCCACCCTGGGGGTGATTTCTCACTTTCCCTCTCACTGTCTTGTCTCACTCTCTCTGGCAAGCACGTGCACCCTAAGGCGAAAAAAAACCCTCTAACAAAATAATGAAAACATCCTCCCTGGTTTGCTCCAGCTCTGCTGAAGGCCTCTGCCTGGCTCTGAACATGCCAGGCCCTTTCCCACCTCAGGCCTTTCCTCCTGGGGGTCCCTCCACCTGGAACCTGCTTCTCCCAGCTGTTCCCATGGGGCTGCTCATCCTCCAGGCCTCAGTTTAAGGCGCCAGCAGCTCTGACCAGTCTAGAGCACGCTGCCTGCACGCTCCAGCCAGCTTTCTCCTTGATTTCTCCGCTCTTGGCACCCTGACTCCCCGACGGCGGGGTGTTGAGGCAAGGACATGTGGTCTAGTGCACCCCGCTGGCATCGAGGCACCGGCTGGGGACGAGGCATTGCTGAGCGCCCCGGTGACTCGTCCCTGTCCCCTTACCAGGCACAGGTTTCTCACAGCTCCTGTGATCTCAAAGATCTATACAATTACACAAAGTGAACACTGAATAATACCGTGAATACTGAGGTTCAAGTTCTGAATACAAAGCATTTTTCAGGAGTCATTGAAAAAGTAACATGTTACGTAAGAACTTGAAAAAATGGCCCGTTATTACCATGGAGTGATTTAACTACAAGAATTAGCATAGACCCACACACTTTGAGATAAATATATAAAGAAAAAATCGTTGGTCTAATCTTTCGGGCTCCTTGACTCCTGCCCCTCCTTTGGATTACCGATGGGCCGGTATTTTATAGGACGCGGTTCTGTAAAGTCTGTTGTGGAAAATGGTGACGGCTGTAGTCTCCCTCGCCCACTGAGGGAACACCTTCCAACCTCCCCTGTGGGTGCCTGAAAACACGCTAGTGCCAGCCCCACACGCACCGCCTCTTGGTTTCCTAACTAGGAGAGCTTTTACGTGACTGCCCGGTGGTACCCTGGGTGGGTCACCTCCTGGGGGATGACGCAGGGTCGGGATGGTGTGAGATGTCATCACATTACTCACCATGATGCACAGTTTCAAACTCGGGAATTATCCATTTAATATGTTCAGATTGTGGTAGACTACGGATAACCGAAAACATGGAAAGTGAAACTGAGTGAGGGGAGCTACTACTGAGGCTGGACATAGATAAAGTGGTAAAACACTACGCAATGGGGCCAGCCAGCAGTATAGTAGTTAAAGTGTTGGACTCCCACCTGGTGGACTGTGGTTCGAGTCCTGGACCCGGTGGCTTGAAAAATCACACTGGGCACATGTGCCCGTGTTCATAAAATACCCAGAGGAGAATGGAGGAGAAGAGAGTGTGGCATGGTCATCCTTCTTGGGGGTGCTTTCTTACTTTCTCCCTCTCTGTCTCTCTCTGGCAAGTGCACATGCCCTATTGCAAAAACCTAGAAGAAATCCCCCAGACTCAAAAACCAAACCACAGTGGTGTACATGGACCCATCTGGAAGGTTGCCGGTTTGTACCCAGAGGCCTCTCTGAGTGTTCAGGGCTTGTGTCCGCCACAGCCTGGGTTGGCCAATGCTGGGAGTGGGTCACTGCGTCCAGTCCTGTCAGGAAGGCTGCAGCACTCTGTCTTTGCGTCTTGCACTCAAAAAATAATAATATATATTTTTAAACAAGGGTATAGCCTTCTGTAAAGTGACTAGCCTGACCTATGAACTCGTTAAATTGCAATTGTCAAGCCCCACCTTACAAAAACTAGATCTTCAAACCTAAGGGTAGCGGTCCAGTGTTCCGTGCTTTAACCAGGCCTTCAGATTTGAGAACCATCGCCGTGAATTGATCATCAGTAGCTTAATTTCTCAAGAACCTTGTCAAGTCGTCCAGGGGCTCTGACATACTCCATCTGAACTGTTCTGAGAACCTTGCCTTGCCTTGCAATGACGTACGTCAATCCTTTTTCATGGTTTTGTAATTGTCATCAAGAAACTGGTGGAGGGACCAGCAGTTAGTGTAATGGCTGTGTCGCTGGACTCCCATGTAGTCGACTGCTGTTCAAGTCCCGGACCCGGTGGGTTAAACTCACGCTGGGTGCGTGTGCGTGTGTGCCCAAGATCCTGAGAGGAGAATGGAGGAGAAAGGACTGTGGCATGGCCATCCTCTCTGGGGGGTGATTTCTCGCTTTCTATCTCTCTCTCTTTTTTTTCTGGCGAGTGCACGCGCCCAATAAGAAAACAAACAAACAAACTAACAAACAAAAACTCTCCAAAAAAAGAAAGGAAAAATAAAAAAGAAACTGGAGTGATTTCTCCCACTCCTGAACTTACTGAGAGAAATTGTCATCTGCTAGGACACATATTACCTGCTTCCTGGGTTTCCTAACTGCGCCTGGAACAATGTGGCTTTAATGAGCTTATTACTACCATTTCGTTTTGTTTCTAACTTCTCATTCAAATAAAAATTTAATTATCTTTCCCACTGTCCAAAGATGTATTCTTTTTCAATTAAAATGTATAATAATCCACCTGACCTGTACTTACTTTCTCTATATTTTCGCAGGCTCTCATTTTCTTAGAATACTTGCTCAATAGAGAATGTTCTTATCTTTTGTCAAGTTTTTGTGTGTGTAGCTCAGTCGTCGCCCTTTCGAGAGGGAAATGCTCAGATTCATTTTTACGAGGATAACCTAGGTTAGGGCATTCAGCCATAGCAGCCACTTTTTGCTTATCTTGGCATAAACCCAGTTTCTCAAACATCAGAGGGAGCTACTCCACCGGGGAGCAGAGGTCGCTCCTCCCAGTCGTGGAGAGCTTAGCCCCTGGCTGTGCGGTGTTGTGAGCCATCGTATGAGGAAATGATTTCAAGAGGGCACCAGTTTTCATGTTGTTACTGGTTATAAAATGCTGCATTATCTACAGTAACAACTACCTCGTTATTGGACACATTGTGTTCTAGCACCAGGGACAGATTTACCTCCAGCCTCTCAGTTAATAGCTGTTACACCCGTTACCTGTGAGGACAGTCAACTCTAGAAGGTATTAGAACCCCCAGAGTCTCTGGGACCAGCAGTTGGCGTAATGGCTGTGTCACTGGGACTCCCATGTAGTCAGCTGTGGTTCAAGTTTCAGACCTGGTGGCTTAAACTCAGGCCGGGAGCGTGTGCGTGCGTGCCCAAGATCCTGAGAGGAGAATGGAGGAGAAGGGATTGCGGCGTGGCCATTCTCCCTGGGGGGGTGATTTTTCGTTTTCGGTCTGTCTGCCTCTCTCTCTGTCTTTCTAGCGAGCACATGTGCCCTAGAGCAAAAATCTCTCAAAATAAAGAAAAGAAAAAGGTTTTAAATTTCATTTAGTTTATTATTACTACTTTTTAAGAGTTATTTATTTAATTTTATTTGTTATTATTATGTATTTTTTAATTTGACCACAGAGAGACAGAGAGAGAGAGAGAGAGAGAGTGAGAAACCAAGCTGCCAGGTTCAGGACTCAAACCACAGAGGGCCATGTGGGAGTCCAGCACCTTAACCACCATGCCTTCTGTTGGTCTTTATTGTTACTTTGTAATTTGACCAGAGAGAGACACAAAGAGAGAGAGGCAAAGCGAGAAGGCAAGCCACCAGGGCCGGAACTTGAACCATATGGCCATGTGGGAGTCCAGCGCCTTAACCAGCATGCCGCCTGTCAGCCCGGATGGTGTCCCTTTGTCTGAAATCTGTGTTAGCCGGATTGTAACCACGCTCCCACCCCGTCTCCCGCCGGAGCACCATGGACCTTTCGTGAAGCCGTCCTAGTTGAGCTCAGAAAGGCGCTCAGGGTGGCCGCTGTCAGGAGCAGAGGGAAGCCGCGTGGGCCGAGCACACCCATGACAGAGCCACTTTCTTGACCTGTACCAAAATCCCGCCTGATAGGTGTGGTCGCTGCTATTGAGGGGTTCGGTAACTCCCCCGGATCACACGGCTGGTGGGGGCCGGAGCGTGAGTAGCTGTGATTTACAGAGCTTGTCCCCGGCCCCAGTCACTGGTGGCTGGTGTGCGTATCATCACAGGTGACACGAATCATTTTCTAAGTTCTTTACCAGTGTCCTTACCAGCCATTATGGGTTTTCTGCCGTCCCTTCCTTGGCCGCATTTCCTCTTTTTAACAGCTCCCTTAACATAGAGGCCGGTCAGATGGTGGACTGTAGAAAACCGCAAAGGCTAAAAGCTTTTGTGTCTCTGCACTGCCTCGGAACACTGCCCGGGGTGGTGCATCTTTGAAGAAGCAGGTTCCTGGTAAGTAACTGGGCTTCTCTGAGCCCGATTTCCGTCTCCGCGGGCCTTTGGTCTACATGCTTTGATCTGTGGGATTCATTACCTCCCTGAAAACTGGAGATGCCTGTGAAAACCGTGATATTCCGTACCTGTGTTTGCTCTCCAGTCCTCTGCCCGCCTCGCCTGGAAGACTGGTAACCACCTTTTCACACCTCCTTCCTCCCCACCTGCTAGGTCCTGTTACGGAAGTGAAAACCGACATCTACGTCACCAGCTTTGGCCCTGTCTCTGATGTGGAAATGGTAGGTATCTGGGAGGTGCCATGTACCCTGGGAGGTCTGAAAAACCAAAGTGCAGAAGAAGGGCAATGAATACTTATGTTGTTGTCAATCACACCAAGCTAGAAAGGCCGAGAACGGCCTGATGAAACAGGCGTGGACAGGGAGTAAGGCAGGAGGTGGCGCCCCGGAGGTGGCGCCCCGGCTCTCAGGGTTGGGGCCTTCTCAGCGGAGAACGTTTCCGTTTTCCAGGCTCCTAGCACGACCTCGTGTGTAACTGGGTGTTTGTCCGCCAACTCCCGAGAAGGAGAAGGTTAGAGGCTGGGGTCGGTCTCGGTGTGGACTCCGCATATACACTGTAGCCCAGTTGCATCTAATATTTTATGTCACCTAATCGCTCCATCCCAATCCTTCCCTCTTCCTGTGCTTAAAGAGCTTAGAGCACCAAGCACTGGTCAGGACGAGGTCTCCCCTCAAGTTGTACTGCGTTACATGAAAGATATTTCATTTACATGATAAAAACCTACTTTCCTTTTCTCCTTGGTCCTGAGCACCTGCTTACTTCAAATCCTTGAGTTGTCGGACTTATTTTAATCAACGCTGCGAGAATAAGATTTGTCTTTTACATATTTTACTCTGTCTTAAAGAAACGCCTACAATGTTAGGATTGATTATGCAATTAATTATGCAGGGATATTTGTTACATATGAACTGAGTTTTTGCTATCTGGTCCAAAGTAAAACACAACTGTGATCCCCTTGTGCTGTCAGTTTTATTAAATTGGAGTAATTGTTCTTGGCTAATCATTTCATTTGTGGCATCCTTTATGTTTTGCACGAAGGCATGTGCACTGGCCAGACAGAGAGAACCCACGGCCCTGTGGGACATGGCCAACAGCAATTCCTTCTCCATTTGTCCATGCCTTCAGGATTGGGGGCGTGCATGCACAACACTGTGGTTTTTTTGTTAGTTTGTTTTGTTTTTCCAAGCCTCTAAACTGGGTTGGAACCCTGGGGTTGGCCATGTGGGAGCTGACTCCCTTAACCAGTAGGCCAAGGGCCGGCCCCATGATGGTCTTTTTCATGAGTGGGAAAGAAGCTGGGATTTACTGCATGTTTATATATATACACTCATCTGTATTCGAATATGTCACAAACTCATTTTCCTAGGAGTACACAATGGATGTGTTCTTCAGACAGACGTGGATTGACAAAAGACTGAAGTATGATGGCCCCATTGAGATTTTGAGACTGAACAATATGATGGTGACGAAAGTATGGACCCCTGACACTTTCTTCAGGAATGGGAAGAAATCTGTCTCACATAACATGACAGCCCCAAATAAACTTTTTAGAATTATGAGAAATGGAACTATTTTATACACAATGAGGTAATCCGCTTTCCCTTCTTCCTTACTTCTTCCTTCTCTTCCCACCCTTTCTCTCCCCTTCTCTCCTCTTTCTTTCCTCCCCCCTTCTATCCCCCCCTCCCTCCCTGCCTTCTTACCTTCTATTCTTCCTTTATTCCTTCCCATTTTAGGGATCTATAAAGTTGCTTTGAAAAAGAGGTTGATTTTATTTCATTGCATTTTTCCATTGTAGACTCACCATAAGTGCGGAGTGTCCCATGAAATTGGTGGATTTCCCCATGGACGGTCATGCATGCCCTTTGAAATTTGGGAGTTGTAAGTTATAATAAAAATGTTGTTAGAATTGATGGTTACTTCATGTAAGCTGATATTTATATATGTGTGTGATATTTCATAAGCCAACATTTAAATCATTGTCCATGGTAAAAACTGTCCAAGGCTGAATGTTTAGGAGACTGGTTATTAATAAACATTTGAAAAGAAAAAAGAAAAAACAGACTTTTCCCTCTCCCAAATCTAAAATCCTGCTTGTACAGACAGCCCAGGTAGAGGGAGTCATAATTACTGGGCTGGTGGTCAGTGGTGAATTTTAGGGACTGCTGAACTCTTCGTATTGGTGGTGTAACATAAAAAGCGGAAATGGCTTTTGTCATTGTTGTGTTTGTAACTTAACAGCTTCTGTCGCGAGCAGAAGTTCTCTATGGCAGCTGTGAAAAAGGCTGAAGAAGGTTCAGGGCTTTCTGCCATGACAGCGGGAGCTGTGCTGTTCGTATGAAGTGGCCGGTGTGGCCAGAGCATAGGAGGGGGTGTGCTCTGCGGGAATACAGTGCCTCGTAGCCCACATTATGAAGGTGTGGTTAGGGGCCATCAGGTGGTGTAATGGTTACGTCGCTGGACTCCCACATGGCTGACTGTGGTTCGAGTCCTGGATCTGGTGGCTTGGAAATCACACTGAGCATGTGTGAGTGTGCCCAAGATCCCAGGAGGAGAATGGACAAGGGATTGTGGTGTGGCCATCCCCTCTGGGGAGGTGATTTCTCACTTTCCCTCTCACTGTCTCTTTCTCTCTTTGGTGAGTGCACTTGCCCTAAGGCAAAAATCCAAACAAAACAAGGTTGGATTCTATCTCTCTGGAAAGCCTGCAGAAGGTTTGACGAACAGGGGCAGCGTTCTCTGATCGACATTTCCCCATCCCAGTCATCTCAGAGAGGCTGGAGGGAAAACAGAGGAGTTGGAGGCTGTTGTTTTCGTCAAAGCAAAGATGGTGGAGGCTTAGACCAGGATGGCACAAGAGAAGGAAGCACGGAACAGGATGTGTTTGGGCTATTTTGGGAGAAGTGAAGGCAAGCGGACGAGCGATGAAGGGCTAGGAAGGAATAGGTGCTGCTCTCCCTCTAGCTCCCTTCCCGGAGACGGCAGCAAAATGTGATTGCCTCTTCCAAGGTCTGTCTCCAATATTTGATTCAATCAGAATCTACCAAAAATAGATGCTGGCTTTTACTATTGCTTCAGACGGAGCCGCGCTGATTGTGAAAGTGCTGCCTGCTGTTGCCGTTGCTCGCCGCGTCCCTGCGCCCCCCGCCATTCTTTTTATAACCCTTGTCATCTCAGCACTCCGGGGCCAACACCGAGCTGCGGGAGTCATTGCTCCCTGACCAGCGACTTAATGAGTGAAGATAAAAAGACAATAAGGATGCTCTCCCCGGGGGGAGGCAGATTAAAATCCATCTGTGCTAGAATAATTTAAATTTCACTCAAGACGGTCCTCAGCCAGAGGATGCTCTTTCTGCCACCCGGCCCCTCTCGGTCTCATGGAAAGCACCCTCTGAGCGACTTGAGCACCCTCGGTGCTCATTCGGGGTCTGTGTGAAAGGAAGAACTCACCCCTCGGAAGCTGATGTTTTTGGATTAGAAAGTAAAGAGAGGCCCACCATGCTCAGCCAGGAAGGGTCTTCCGTTATTTTGGAAAAAGAAAAACACTGTTTAACTATGTTTACAATCTGGAGGAATGAAGAAAACCAGGAAAGAAAAGTTATTCTAGCCAAGGTAGGGTAGCCAAGAAGATGCCCTGATTTAAAATACCGTAGACAAGGAGATAGCTGGTGGCATCGTGGTTAAGGAGATGGACTCAGCCATGGCTGATGGTGGTTTGAGTCCCAAACTCAGTAGCTTGAAACGCACAGCAGGCACATATGCGTACGTGCGTGCCCAAAATCCCTAGAGCAGACTTGGGGAGAAGGGATTGCCGTGTGTCCATCCCCTCTGGGGGTGATTTGCTTTCTGTCTCTCTCTGGCAAGCACATGTGCCCTGTAGCAAAAATCTCTCAAAAACAAAACAACAAAAAACACAGACAAGAACTCAGTACCCAGGGGCCCTAAATAGGATGAAATATGAATACGGTTCAGGAGACAAGTGCTGCCTGTAACTGTGTGAGGCTGAAGGACAACACGGGCCTCATGATTCGTTTTGCAAGTCGTTTGTAAAGATCGACTCTTGCGGTATAGACGCCTTTTAGAGTTAAGCAGTTCCAGGAAGGGCCGTCTGTGCTGTTGCCATTTTAGCTCGGTCTGTGGACGTGTGCGGGGCCGGGGGTGGTGGTGGGAGCACAGTTCGTTTTGGCTCTTTTGAACTTGTCTGTGTGTGAGCCAGCTGTCTGCTCCGGGTAGGCTGGTAAGCCAGCAGCTGCTCTTCATTTGCACCGAACGCCAAATAATAGAAAATGGACTTCAGTTGCCGCTGGGAGGAATTTGCTGAAGATGGAAGGGGAAATGTCCCGACTGAGGAGTTTAAAGGTACTGGAGCCGGTTGTGTAATTATACTCCCCGGAGAGCTCTGCAAACCAACCGCATAGCCTGTTGTCACTGTGAATGGCTCCCAAACTGCAGGGGGCAAGCCCAGGGCAGGGTCTGGAAGAGGTGACCCCTGGAGAGCTCTCCCAATCATAGGGTTTGTTTTTGTTTTTGTTGTTATTATTATAGGCAGCATCTGGTACGTTTCTGAATGACAGAGCTACGTTAGTTTGGAAGAAGTCAATATGGGTCAAGCACCAGGCAGGAGTTAAGTGAAAGGCGTAGGGCTTGACAGGACCGTTGGGTTACAAGGTATCTGCTTTTCCACGGCTTGCCCTGTTCCCATGGAAACACATCCACGTGCCGCATAGCATTTCCGATGCTCAGGCTTGGTCTTCCTCCGCTAATTCCTTAGCATAAAAATAATAAGCCCCGTCGCGTTGCAAGGGTACTGGTTGAACTTTTACAGTTTTCTAAATCGTGTGTTTGACTACCTTGTCATGAACACTGTTTGCATCCTCTCTACTTTCTTGAGTGTGTGAGCCCCTAAGCGTTGACCATCGAGCTGACCAGCCGAGACTGAGCTGACCACCTCTGTGCTCTCGTTCAGATGCGTATCCGAAGAGCGAGATGATCTACACCTGGACGAAAGGGCCCGAGAAATCGGTGGAAGTGCCCAAGGAGTCTTCCAGCTTGGTTCAGTATGACCTGATCGGGCAAACGGTGTCAAGTGAGACTATCAAGTCGATCACGGGTGAGCAACTCCACGGTGAAAGTCAGGACGCCGCCTGCCTGCCATTAGCAATAGGGTTCTCACGTAGCTTTCACTGACAGAGCTAGTGTTCGCAGAGAACCAACGAAAAATGTCCAGAAATAGGGTGGATGCATAAATCACAGCTGAGCGTGTCTTTATTTATATGTATAATCTTATTTTAGTTTATAACAAGTTTTGAGTTGGTGAGAGGTGAGGAGTAGGTTGGCTTTCTGATTTAGAAGTGAAATTCGGTAATCGAATTATCGAATTATCGAATATTAAAACTGTTTCGGCAAAATGATGAGGCAGAACCTCTGACCCTGTTTTTTTCCAGTGCTTTCCAAAGATCTCTTTTTATTTTGCTCAGTTTTGTGGGGGGATCTTCCCCGCCTTTCTCCAAACTATAAGCGAAATCCAGAGCTTAATTTGCAAAGTATATGAAAGGTATATTTTAAAGTCGTTGCATTGGCAGTTAAATGGTTACTGTTGACCATTCTCAGTCCGTGTTTGCTTTCAGAATGTGATGGAAACAATCAGATTGAGTTTCTTATCATATTTAGTGGGAAGGATGAACTGATTATTGTTCGTTCTAAAACTGTTCCTTACATACCCATGCCACTAGGAGAAGGGATTTTGGGGGGCCGATTCTTGTCTCAGTCTGTTTGGCTGCTATAACAAAATGCCATAAACTGAGTATAAACAACAGAGATGTATTTCTTACCACTCTAGGGGCTAGGGAGTACTAGGTCAAAGTGCCATGAGGAGACATTCGCTGATTCACAGTCACCTTTTATCTGAGTGTTCACGCCCCTCATGAGA